GGACGTGGTGAGAAAAATTTCGAAATTAACAAAGAAACTTTGTTCGTATTAATTCATTACTTTTAATTGCATATCAACTGTTTCTGGAATATAGTAACGTATAGAAAGTTTTTGTTTATGATTAAAACGATGCTTAATTAAAATAGGTATATAGTCTCGGAATTATACCCTAAGGCAAGCTAGGTATAATATAATAATTTTTGTAGAATATGTTTTTTTATTTTAGTGTGGTTTGCCACCTGCAGAAATGTGCAGTGGCCTATTTTTTCTATAACGGTTATTATGAACATTCGCACTTAATATTAATGTCCTTTTTCTTGGTAATCATAAAGCCAACTGTACATGAAAATTATTAATAAAGATACGAGAGTATCTCACTGTATAAAGGGTGTTTCAAATATGTGGTCTGCGGAACGAAAAAAGATATCGATTTGATGTAAAAGCGTTTACAATCCATTTAAATCTATTTTTCAATAATATATGGCATTTTGTTTAATATTTTTTTAATATTAATATTAATATTTATGTATCAAGGCAGTAAAGTCGTATTTTATATCATGAATGTGGAAATTATTTGCCGAGGCGAAAGCCTTTAATGCCGAGGTGCATATTAAATTTTATCCAAATCACATTTAATAATACAGTTCATTTTTTTTTATCTGGACTCGTTTTTTTGTTAGGTTGACAGTTTGACAGTATTTTTAGTATTTAAAAATTGACAATAATATTTAATAAATAATAGCAACGAATTCGAATGTAAAAGCCCTTTTGAGGACAATGGAAGAAAAAGTGCATCGCCTTATGGACATTTTTGGAGTAAAAAGTAACGAATTTGGTTTTATAAATATAACATCACACATTATTCACCATTTACGTTTCCAAAAAATTTTAATTTCTTTTATATAAATTCTTTTCAAAGCGAAGATTATTATCCGCTAGGAATACTTTCTCTTCTGGGCCGTAAAGCAACCTATATTTAACTACTTTTTTATATGATTTTACTCATCCAAGCACCACCAAAGCCAAATTAATTGCATTTTTAACTACGAATTTCGACAACTCAACTTGACAACTGCGCAATTTAGCCTACAATAGTTTATACATAACCACAATTAGATTTATAACTAGCTTAGTTTGTTTTAATCAATGCGACCAACTTGACAACTGTATTTACCAAACAAAACCCTAAATTTGCAACGTTGCAACAATCCAAATAAAAAAAAATGAAATGAAATTTATTTTATGAAATATAATAATAAAAAGAATGCGCAACTATAAAAATTTAATAAACCAACAATATTTTAATTAACAATTTTTATTACTAAGTCCAATTCGCGCCATTTCTTTGTCGTATGTTGTTGTTGCCCCAGCCTCCATATTCGCCAGACATAGCCCCGTATGACTTTTTGTTAGTACCAGAGTACTATAAGTGTTTTGAGGACTCATATTGAATAAGCTGCAGCTTAGACAACGTTTTAGCATAAAAAGTAAAAATAGCGTAAATGTGTATTATAAAATGTACAGCCCTCATTTAGTTTCCCACACTATATACTTTTAGAGAGCAAATATTGATTTAACAAGTTCTTTTCGACTAAATTGTGAGAAAACAAACTCGTTCTCTAAAAGACGTCGTTCAAGGCGTTATAAGAGAACTTGCCGTATATGTTTATGAAACACAATTAATTTTGATGTATAACGTAATGGGATACGTCATTAGACATTTGATACCATTATAAATGCATTGCGGATTAATCCTAACGTATACCTATGTGTACAGGTGGGTAATGTTAAGGCCGTTTTAATGCCTCTGCAGATTATTTCGAGAAATTCAAACGTTTCGCCTAAATGCACTTGATAATTATTATTGTGTTATGCATTAAAGGAATCCAGTAATGCACCGGCTCGGGGCTAATTTTAAGTGCCGTTTCACATACAAATTCTAAAATAAGACCCCGCTTTTTTTAGTTTAGTATAACTTGTTAATTTAATTTACCAAAAAGTTATATCAAAAGTTAAACTAAACCAAAATAGGTCTAAAAAATAACTAGTCTTAACGATTTTCAAAGGTTAAAATTAGAAGTTAATATAACGTTATGTAACTTCTTAAATAACCCACTTTTTAACTTATAAGTAATATTACTAACTAGTTAAATATTTTGTTTATTTATAGTCAATTTAAACTCTTGAAATAACCAAGTTACCTTTAGGTATTATATTATTATGTATTATATATTTAACTAGTTAGTAATTTTACCAGTAGGTTTCTCTAACTAGTTAAATTAAACTAAAAAATAACCTATGAATTTACCTTAAGGTTATACCAACTGGTTGGTAAATTTAAAGAGTTATTTTTAGTTTATAGTAACCTTAAAAAATGTTAATGGTTGAATACAACTAATTGGTTAAAAAAACGTTACTTATTTTACTTAGATTTTGGTTAATTCACTTAAAATGCTAGTTATTAAACCAGTAGGTTCTATCTTAATTAAAATATAAAATTATTAATAGTTTTTTGATTTAAATTAAACCTTAAAAAGTTTTCAGATCAATAGGAATTATTTACAGTAATAAAGTGGTTTTAATATAGTAAAAATACGACCTAGGAGTAAAATTTACTTTAGAGTCAAAATATTTACGTTAAATTTGCCTTAAAAAATCCCTTAAAATAAAATAATTTGGAAGTAATTTTCTTTGGTAAAAATTACGTTAAATAAACATCATTGAAATTCTTTAAGGTTAAGTGAATGTAATATTTAGTTAAATAAAGTTAACATTTGCAATGCTCGATTATTTTATGGTAAAAATTTAAAACCTTTCTTAACACATTTGTGGAAATGTTGGGGGCAAATCCCAAAATTTGAACATTTCATACAGTGTTGAATGTACTCGATGTTTTCAATTAAGTCGGGCGCCAAAATGTATACCCCAATTTGAATACCCAATTCAACCAAAAAAGCATGTTGCTCATTGTAATTATATTCCTTCCAGAGCTTCATCATTGATATTTAACTATAGCAGCATCTCTGATTAAGATCTAAAAAAGGCAAAGACTACCAGTCGTCGGCCACGTAAGGAAAAAACTACGCAATTTGCAGGCTTGCGACAACGAGCAAACACACAGAAATTTTCAACGAGAACTTGGCTACATTCCGCTCTGTGTGCTTGCCACGCAGCGTCCGTCAATTTTTTTCCCACTAGGAATTTTCTAACCGCAGAATAACCGAGATAATTGAGTGAGAAAAAAGACGATATCCTATATGGAAAATTGTTCGTTACAATTTAAAGCCACCACGGCAAAAAAACTGTGCACCATAGAAATATATGGTGGAGGTGCAAGAAGAATGTTTTTTAATTGGAAATATCTCAAAAACCACAAGAGTTAGAATGTTTAAATTTTGGAAAATACTAGAATTTTAAATTCTTACAACAATTAGTTACTGCAAATGTAAAGCTTACATACATTTTAGTCTCTAAGGTAAACAAATTTAAATCGTGAATATACATAAAACAATTTTTGATATACAGCTGCAAATACTTGCTTAGGGCCCCATGATATTTGTCACTGAGTGTACGCTATTCTTGACATGACAGGTGTTCTGTGAAGATAAAACTAGTTTATAAGAAAAGCAATAAAAATGTTTTTAACGATTTCTTATCAAATTTGTTACTAATTTAGAATGTGGTCTTATATTGTTAAAATCGTGTTGGTGCTATTTTTGCATAGTCCCACCTATCTAGAAGTTAACCCATTCTAAAGCCAGATACATCCATAGGTTACTGACCTACACCAAACAAACAACATCTCAACAATTTGTACCCAATGATAAACTTACAATAAAGACAGTTACCTTTAAAACTATCACCATGGATACTTCTAAGCAACAAAACAACAAAATAGGCCAATATTAACAAAAGAAACTCACCGGTAGCGTTTTGGCTGAAATTATAATCCAGTTTTCGAAATTTCCAAATCAAAGTCCCCAAGTATCAAAACACAAACTGGTCAGCACTAAAAATCGAGCAAAAACGGTTTAAAACAACGAAAACCGCATGTTTTCGACGAAACAAAAGAAAAGCACTTGTGTAGTGTGGCACCTGGCGTAACTATACGCGCAGGTAACTCTGATGGAACGAACGCCCGAACGCCGTATTCGGCTGTTTTCGGCCCGGTTCGGTCGTGAAATGGTACCCTGCGGTACGTAATAGGTGGAGTGAAGAATGAAGAATGTCTTGAGGATGATGAAAGTGTTTTTTTCAGCTGCTGGCGTCGCAGAGAAAACAAAAATTGTGCGGCGCGGGTAATTGAATTAGACCTCGGTTAGGTGATTCGTGTTTAAATAGTCCAGCTAGGGTATTTGTTTTTTTTTTAGATAAAGGTGTAATTTTTTTAAAACACTAAGCAATTAAATGTTCGAATTGCTCTTAATTGGTTTCTTGACAGTAAGCACTAAATTGTGTGGTCTGTTGACCTTTGATTTATGGTAGCCCCATACAAAATAATCGAGGGTGAGATCTGAAGATCTTGCTGGCCACTCTATGGGTCCTCGTCTGCTAATCCACCTCTCAGGAAAACGGACAAACGCGCCCCGCCCTGTTCAAATCAAATGGTATCATTTGGTAGATGGGGACCTCCATTCTCATTGAGAAATATTTTTGCTTATGTTGAAGAAGAGAGTTTTGCAAAAATTAAAAATACGTTTGTCCTGTCATATTCTTGCCAAAGAAGAAATAACCTATGATCGATTTTACTATTTACATTCTACTACCCGATGAGGATAAATAACAAATAAGTAACATTTTAAAACGTTCATAACTAAATAAATTCTGATGTGGGTAACCTACATTTATTTAAGACCTTTTACAAGAAGGCATCATGGTAGGTATAATCTACCGGTGAGCAACACCCATCATCAATTTAGAAGATTCCAATTAATAATAATAATAATAATATCTAGCACGCACTCTGGTGCACACTATTTCTCGGAACGAGGGATTTTTACCTTGCGGCTTGGGCTGCGGAGGCAGGGGGCTGAAGATAATCGCAGTCCGCGGCGGCAGGGGCGGCGCTGGACCCCCTCCCGCTCCTCCCCCACCAGCACCGTGGGTACCTTGGTTCGGCAGCCTCTTCTGGAACCCACAAAACTCAATTAGCATCCATTATATATACGAGGTGTGTTCAGAAAATATCGGAAATTTTCGTTTTTTGAAACAAATGTTTATTTATTCGTCTACATTAATGTCGTCGCCTTCAAAATAGTCCCCATTGGATATTATGCACATGTGCCAGCTCTTCTTCCAAAACTCGATCTTTGGGATAGCCTTTAGTTCTTTCAGCGATGCGCTTTTAATGTCATCTATGCTTGCAAAACGACGTCCCTTTAAGGTTCTCTTTATTTTTGGGAATAGGAAAAAGTCAGACAGAGGCATGTCTAGCGAATATGGAGGCTGGAGCATCATTTCAGTATTGTTTTTGGCCGAAAATTTTGTTCAAAATTTAACAATTTTGAAACAAATTTTGCTGTCACGCGTTTCATACCCAAAACATTTGAAAAAATTTCATGGGATGAGCCAATCCATATACCAACATCATCAGCGACTTCTCATATTTATTTAAATCAACCGTGGGAAGGTTAATATAAACAAAGATTAGTTGGACGGTACTAAACCAGATAGTCATTTTATTTTTCTAAATTGGTTAAATTGTATGGTTCAGTTTACTAAATATGTTGTTTTGTAAAATAAGAGTTACTTCAACCTTAAGCACTCTGTTAAAATGATTAAAACATTTGCCGTGCATTCCTGGTTGCATAGTATGTACCGATCGCGGCAAAGGCGGTGTGGATCGCGTGATGTTCTTAAATCTCGCTTCTGTTGACTTACATGAAGAGTATATAAGGTGAGGTACTTCTTTGCTTTGGTGTGACACTACAAGTTGTTCGATACTAAAGAGACCTTGAATAGGTGGAAACAGCTGTCAATACTTGAAGTATTTTATTAAGTTGGTGGAACGCACTAAAACATTATCTCTAGCGAGGTGAAGGTTTAATTATCTGGAATAATACCTCTGGTATTATACTAGTAATGCGTCAAGGAACTTCCTGTTTTTTGAAGAATATAAGAAAATGGCTTAAAAAATGTTTCTACTCCAAACATTTCAAGATCTTATTTTTATTGTTAGGTATATAAATGCGCCAAACGATATGGGTAAGTTATACCAAGCCGTTAACCTAGTTAGGGTAACAAATTATATTTAGTCAATTCAACCAAATGTATTTAGTACATTGGACTGGTAGGTAAAGGTCACTTGAACTATATAAATGTTTGTTTCAACCAAATATATAGTTGTAAAATATAACCAAATGCGGTTGTTAAAATAACTAAATGTTTGGTTGGCTCTATTGAAACAACATATTTAGTTAAATGAAACAAATAATAGTTGGGCTAACTAAACCTTTTTTTCTGTGTGATGGTTTATAACCATTTCTTCCACTTTTTCCATGTTTTTATCGGTTGTTAATGTGCTTGTGCGTTCGGGGCGTTCGTCATCTTCAACGTCTTCACGGCCATCTTGGAAACTCTTATACCACTTGTAAACTCTTGTTTTACATAGCAGACTCACTATAGGCCTTTGTTAACATTTCACAGAATTTATTTCATTTTTTAAGCAAAATTGGATACAAATTCTTTGATCCATTTCTTTTAACGAACGAAAAATCGCCGAGCTCATAAAACACGTCTGACCTTAGCGGCTGCCACAGACAAAGTAAACAATGAAAACAGCTAAAGTTTTTATCATACTTCGGGGGCATGTATACCAACATAATAAATAAAATTTTATGACAACCGGACTCTCCGAAGCCGCGAAATTTAACAATTCCCTTTATTTTCTGAACACACCTCGTACACTGATGGACAAAATTATTAATAATACTTAAGAAGTAAACCGAACAAAAAAAAATTGATTTTTTTAGGTGCTGCCTTAATTTTGTCTCTTAGTTATCTTTGTTGTACGTTTTGATTCAAAACTGACTATATACAATGTGTCTACTTAAGTAACTGTAGTTAGATGTAATCTAAGATGCACTGACAAACAACTGATTTCTTGATAGCAAGAAATGTTTTACATTGAATGTCAAAACATCAGAATTTGCTTATTACTTTCTGAATGGAGCGGAAAGGTTATCATGTTTGTAATAAATAAAAAATAAATAAAAAATATACTCTTGCACCAAATTCATATTTTTTGTCAAACCTCTTATATAACTGAAAAAAAACTGATATCAAATTCTAGAAGGCGTAGAAGGGCCAACAAAAATTTTACAAATTTTAGCCAAAACTAACTTTGATTTTTGCAATTTCTATTCTATAATTGTAACTTGAACCTACAATTGTAACTTGAACTTACAATTGTAACTTGAACTTACAATTGTAACTTGAACTTACAATTGTAACTTGAACCTACAATTGTAACTTGAACCTACAATTGTAAGTTCAAGTTACAATTGTAAGTTCAAGTTACAATTGTAAGTTCAAGTTACAATTGTAGGTTCAATAGACTGGGCCAAAAAAATCAACTATTTTTTTTTTGAAAAGTATATCGAAAATATGGTTTGGGGTGACAAAAAAAAAATATTGTGAAAGTTTGAGTCCATAATATTAATATTAAGATTTTTTTTTCCTGAGCAAGTTTTTGTCTCAGAACTCCCAAATCATTGAGTTTAACAAAATTGGCTTAAGAATATTTTTTGAAGAAAATTGAATGTTCTACAAAAAAGGTTTTATTGGAATTTCCCGTCAGATGAACCGTTTTTTTACAATTATGCCTTAAAAATTGGTTTAGTTTTACAATTTCTTTTAACTTTGGAATATTGCAGTGGCGGCTGGTGGATTTTGGGTATACCAATATTTCAGTTATTAGACATGGGACCCACACCAAATTTATAATAGTTTATAATGACATTAAATAGACAAGTTCGGCTCAAACAGAATTTAAATTGAAGTTTGAGAAAAAAAGTTAGTTTTTCCTGTCGCCTCACCCGCCTCCAGGCCCCCCTATTTAAGATAATTCAAATTAAAGTGGTGCAATTTATTATCTACTATAATTTAGAGCATTTAATTTTCTTAAAATAATATTTTCGAGCCAATTTTGTTAAACTCAATGGTTTGGGAGTTCTGAGACAAAAACTTGCTGAGGAAAAAAAATTAAAATTGCGATGATAGACCTCTTAATATACCTACCATATTTTCGATATACTTAAAAAAAATAGTTGATTTTTTTGGCCCAGTCTAAGGTTCAAGATAAAATTGTAAGTTCAAGTTACAATTGTAGGTTCAAGTTACAATTAATTGTAAGTTCAAGTTACAATTGTAGGTTCAAGTTACAATTGTAAGTTCAAGTTACAATTGTAGGTTCAAGTTACAATTGTAGGTTCAAGTTACAATTGTAAGTTCAAGTTACAATTGTAGGTTCAAGTTACAATTGTAAGTTCAAGTTACAATTGTAGGTTCAAGTTACAATTATAGAATAGAAATTGCAAAAATCAAAGTTAGTTTTGGCTAAAATTTGTAAAATTTTTGTTGGCCCTTCTACGCCTTCGTAAAATTCTGATGATTGTATTTTAGATTTTAGAACATTCAGAACTTTTTATGAGGAATAACTTTTTTCTTAAAATTAATAGTAAAAAAGTTTCCCATATATTGCCAACTTAACACTGTATAGTGTAGTACACTGTATAATGATGGTTTTACTTACCTCATATAAGACATCCTCAAGGTTGTTTTGCGGTGCTCGGTCTACATTAATGTTTTTGGTTTGCATTTTTTAGGTCCTGAAATTAATGAAAATATTTATAATAGTATTTTTAGTCTATACCTGTATTAAATATGTTTTCATGACACTAAGTGACCTTTTAAATACTCTCTAAAAATGAATTAGTCAAAAATGACTAATTTAATAGTTATTAGTGGCTGCTTTTTCACTTGTACCATGGTTAACCATGAAATTTAACAGCCAATTCTTATGTAAAATTGTCCCCTGAATCCGAAAATGTCATTAAAAGTTAAAAAAGTACAACAGTTTTTCAGATATAGTCAATTTTCTATTTAATAGGGAATTAACTATATCTTAAAAACTGCTCCACTTTCATAATTTTTGGATTTTTCGGATTCAGGGGACAATTTTACATTCGAATTGGCTTTTAAATTTTGGGATACCGTGATATTCCATGGTTAACCATGGTACAAGTGAAAAAGCAGCCACTAATAACTATTAAATTAGTCATTTTTGACTAATGCATTTTTAGAGAGTACACATTGACAAGCTGTGGCATTATGGCGCTTTAGTCACGAGCTTAAGTTAGTTTTAACTTAGTTGACAGTTGTCAAATGTCATCCAATCGTTAAATTAAATATACACTTTGTTTTTTTAAATAATTTAATTATATTGAAAAATATAGGTACACAAATTTTAAAAACTGTTATTTTAATAAAGTAAATTTTAAAATTTAACTGTTGCAGTTCTAGTCCAGATTTTTTTACCCTGTGTTTTTTATTTTAGAAATAAAAATATTGTTTCAGAGCTTACTTTTAATTATTTGTCAAATAAATATTACAAATGATAAAAACAATTTAAACCAAAAATATAAAAAAATAGTTTCATACACTGTGCCTATTTTTGCTTTCGAGATCAAACAATTGTTTTACCTACAGGGTGTATTTTTTATTTTCTTATAAAATGCCTTTTAAATTTGTATTACTAGCAAAAACTGTTAATAATATTATAATATGTATATTCAATTTAAAATACCCATGTTGTTGCCCTTTTGCCCCTCCATTTCATTTTCTTTTATGTTTAATAGTACCTACCTATATTTCTGAGCCCAAAAATAAATAGAGTGTAAATTTCCTCAGAAATAAAAGTCCCCTGTACCTTGTTAAGCCCTTTACCCAAAACCTACTGTTTCTATTTAAAGAGCAAGCACATAATTTAAAAGTTTAAAAGAAAAAATAGGTTGAACATGGTCTAAAATTTAAAATTCTTTAAACGTATTTAAAAAATAATGCTTTTTATTTATTAAATAGTATTTTTTAATTATCTAGGTATTATATTGAATTTATTTTCTCATATATATTTACAAACAAAAATACTGTCTATTAGAAAATTACTACGTTGCCATGTCGTGCAAAAACCTATATCAACTGATAAACTTCATTTTATTTTATCTGGACTGCGGCAACGTTGCAAATTTAGGGTTTTGGTTGGTAAATACAGTTGTCAAGTTGGTCGCATTGATTAAAACAAACTAAACTAGTTATAAATCTAATTGTGGTTATGTATAAATTATTGTAGGTTACATTGTGCAGTTGTCAAGTTGAGTTGTCGAAATTCGTAGTTAAAAATGCAATTAATTTTGCTTTGGTGGTGCTTGGATGAGTAAAATCATATAAAAAAGTAGTTAAATATAGGTTGCTTTACGGCCCAGAAGAAAAAGTATTTCTAGCGGATAATAATCTTCGCTTTAAAAAGAATTTATATAAAAGAAATTAAAATTTTTTGTGAACGTAAATGTTGTCCAATGGTAAATAATGTGAAAATAATGTGTGATGTAATATTTATAAAACCAAATTCGTTACTTTTTTTACTCCAAAAATTTCCATAAGGCGATGTACTTTTTCTTCCATTGTGGCATTTGGCATAATTTCATCAAAATGAAGTTTTGCCCTCAAAAGGGCTTTTACATTCGAATTCGTTGCTATTATTTTTGGCATAATTATCTTTTTATTTATAATTGATAAGTAAATTATCAATAATAAATATTATTGTCAATTTGACAGTGTCAAAGTATTTAATTAAATTCTTTAGGAGAAGTACCATTTTTAAATACTAAAAGTAAAGTCAAACTGGCATAAGCCACCAACCTAACAAAAAAACACGAGTCCAGATTAAAAAAAAAATTAACTGTATGCTAAATCAGTTAATGTGAGTACATTAGATGCAAAACTCTGTATTTGCAGGATAAGTGATTTTAAGAAAAACACGAAAAACCGCTAATAAGGTCATATTTGAAAAAAAAAATACAAAAATCGTATAGACGTGCTTTTGCATCATTTCTTATTCAAAAAAGTAAAAAAAGTAATTTAAAATTAAGTAGTTTAGTAAATAATTGAAATCAAAAGATTTAAAAACATAGTTTTGCATCTTCCTCGTTCAAAGACCAAGTTTTGCAAGTGAAAAGTGCAAATACCAAAAAAATAACAATTAATCAGGTGATTGTTATGCCGTCAGTTAATGCGTATACTAGCGACGTGATTGTTGATTGGTCAAATACCGAGTTTTGCATCCGACAGAAAGAAACAAATACCCAGTTTTGCAGCTGCGGTAAGTTTATAAATGTATTTTATTCTACAAATATTAACTTATGCATCTGGTTTACTTAGGTATACTGTGGGCAGTGCAGTTATGAACATAAATAAGATAAAATATATATTTTTTAAAAATGTGCAAAAACCGAGTTTTGCATCTAATGTACTCATGTATAAATAAATTTTTATTTAAACACAGCAGTTTAACTAATAACTCGTTTCCATTGTCAAATGTCAAACATTCAATTAAAACCCCACATAGAGAGGCAGGCAAGGGCACTTTGTCATATCGCAGTATGTTTGATGACGAGACATTGCGGTTAGTTTATATTTGCAATTAACAATATTGCTTAATTAAGAACACATATTGACAATCAAGGGACATACATTATGTTCGACGTTTGTACGGTTCGGTGTGGCGCGAGTACAGGGTGAATGACAAATAAGAATAAGAAATGCAAAATTTCTTGCCTGAATGTTAAAATTGAAAAAAAAAATCTGATAATATTAATAATTCATATTTATCAACATATTTTTTTCAATTTTAACATTCAGACAAGAAATTTTGCATTTCTTATATTTGCCATATTATAAAAAATACAATGGTGGTTTGTTTTGCATTTGGTTGTAAAAGTTATATAAGTTTACAACCAAATGCAGAACAAACCACCATTGTATTTTTATAATAAAACCGACGTTTAAAAACTTAATTCAATTTTCGTCCGTTACACTATGGACCACCCTGTAGCTGTTGGCAGGGTCACGTGTGTTTGTAAAATCAAATGACCCAATTCGCAGAACACTGTTTATGGATGTGTTTGACTAGTTGGCCGACATAAAATGTGTTTAACAATACAGTTCGGTGTGTGCTTGTGTATATATGAGCCACCCATTGAAGATTTTTCGCCACTAAATCATTACGAAGCCCACGAGAACTTTCTCCAAACGAGATATGCGCAAGAATCGTATTGTTTTTTTGATTTATGATGTCGATTATTTTATTTATACAGGGTGTCCAACGATTATGCGGCAAGACTTCGCTAGCAGATGTGGATATCATGTACTGAAGTTTCAAACTGAAAATTGTTTAATAAATATAACAAAAAAAGTAGTTTGTCTTAATAAAGTAAAGATTCCTATTCGTTCAACAATTGCTTTTGTTACGGCAAAAAGATCATTTTTATAAAAATTATTTATCTACAAACTGTGCTTTCAGTAATAGCATTTGCATTAATTATAAAGTAAATTTAATTTATGTTAAATAACACTCTTCCAGATGCAGAAAGGCATTGATAAATATAGTTATTAGTATTTGTCAAAAAAAAAAAGTTCTATACCGTTTACAAAAACGTTTTGTAGTATTAATGAAACCCTAATGGTATTATTCATAGAAATTTTGTAAATTTTACAAATCCCTTTTCGTTTAAAATAATTTTTTTTATAATATCAATAAAATTTATGTAAATTTAACAACAAATTCATTATTAATTCAATAAACTATTCAATAGTCACATTTTCAACCTACTGTTGGGTATTGGGTAGTTTTTTTAAAATAATTGCAATGCATTAACACAAATGATTTATTATAACAAAAAAAAAACTCATATTATATGTACAAAATAAAAAAATATGAACTCACTTTTTAAAAAATAAGTCTGCTTCGTTTATAGTTTATAGACAAATATGCCGCGGCATGCGGCATGCCGTAGTAAAATGAACAAATTTTATTATTACAAACTACTTACTCAGTTAGTTAACAGAATCTGGTTAATATTTGGTTAAAATTAACAAATATTTTTTTACTTTGTAAAACTAAATTTTCGTCCATTGACTTTTTTAATATTACAAATTTTACACCAAATTATGGTATTTTATTTAATTAAGCAAGGCAATATTTTTCATTAGCCAATTTATAATGTTTGTTAAAGTGTTAAAACAAATAATGTAAAGCTTTACATTTTTAACATATTTGTTTTACGCCCTCTATATATTTAAAAACTAAGTACAGAGTTTTGCCTGTAAACAAAAATGTTAAAATTTTCAAACACCAATAGGAAATGAGATATTTTGAGAGACGTTATAAAGTGATAGGAGTATTTTTCATCAACTAATTGCTGAAGCGGATACAGCCGCTCACAAGTTAAATATTTATTCAAATTATACTATATATACGTTTATTAAATTCGATGCCACAAGAGTCATTTTTAATTATTTTTCTGAAAGTCACTTTATCACTTTTAATTATTTAATGATGGTAGTGGCTGTAATTATATTTCACAGTGGTAATACTTCAACAAGTACATACTTATTATCGAAAATTTATATGTGTTTTAGTAAGACCACACATTACTTAAAAGTATTATTAATTACATTTGAGAGTTATTTATTAACATCGATCCGACTTGCACAGGTCAACGAAGTAAAAAACATAATTTTGACCGAATCCAATAATTTTGGCCGAAAATCG